ATCGTGTGTTTTTCTTCTACCCCTTTCCCTTTCTTTTTCTTCTTCTTTTTTCGTTTTCCCCTCTTATCAAAAAAAAATAAAAAAATTATATCATCATCTTCAATACGAGTCCTAGAAGCAAGCCATGGCCAACAAGGAGATGAAGGACAAGATCGATAATCTCGATGTTCAAGTCCGAAGTATGAGCGAGGCTATGAATACCCTAGGCGAGGGTCTCGATACCACAAAGGCGTTCGTTCGTGAATTGATGGAGATCATGAACCGAAGGTTTGATGAGATGGCACGCAACATGGTGGCGCACCAATCACCAACCCGACGGCCCAATCGCGAGCGGCCCGATCATGAGGGACGCCGCGAACGCGAGCATGATGATGACCGAGCGCGACGATGTGAAGATCGGGATCTCGAACGATGCTACGACCGTGAGCGACGCGAAGAGGAACGGCGACATGATGAGCGCGAGCGAGACGTGGACTGCGAGCGACGGCGCGAGGAGTACGAGCGAGAAGACGACTTCGACCGACGGTCCCAGGCGTCTAACTATCATGACCACCCGAAGCCCGAGAAGCCGAGGATCACACTGTCCACGTTCAACGGCAACGATCCCGAGGCTTGGCTCAACCGAGCCGTTCAATACTTTGATCTCAACGATACCGAAGGACGTGATCGGGTAAGATACGCTGCCTATTACTTAGATGGAGAAGCCAACGTGTGGTGGCAGTGGCTTACTAGCGTATACCGAAGCCGACAGCGAGTCATCCGATGGAACGATTTCGAACGCGAGTTACTCACGCGCTTCGGCTCATCCGACTACCACAATTACCATGAGGTGCTATCCCGCATACGACAGACCGGCAGCTTGCGCGACTATCTTAAGGAGTTCGAGCGATTGGCATGTCGCGTACGAGGCTGGCCTGAGACTGCGTTGGCTGGGACCTTTATTGGTGGGCTAAAGTATGATCTAGCCGCGGAGGTTCGCTTAGAGCGACCAGAATCAATGCATGCGGCTATGGAAGTGGCCCGACGCCGAGAAGATCATCTTGTGGAAACTCGAAGGGGACGGGCAGATGCACGCTACCCCGAGACACGACGCGCACAACCGGATGCAAGCGATATTGTTCCAAGCGGCCGACCACCTGACAACTCTCGACCGACTAATAGCACACGACCACCAGTCAAGCACTTGACGCTTGAGGAGATAAAGCGCCGACGGGAGAAAGGGCTATGTTTTAAATGCGAAGAAAGATTTACGCCTGGTCATCAATGCAAGCAGGCTTTTGTCATCCACGTTATAGACCCGAATGAGGAAGAGCCCGAGGTTGAGAAGGATTGGGAGCAAGAAGTCGAGATTGGGGTTCCCGAAGAGGAGGCCGAGATCTCGATGCATGCGATGGCTGGTACAAGAGGACCGACGACGATGCGGCTGCCGGCGTTGTTCAAGGACCACCGTGTAGTCGTGCTAGTGGACAATGGATCGTCGTGTTGGAACCCACGAGGATCTCGATATGCACAAATCACAGACAAACATTCAACATAAACCTATGCGCAGCGGATCTAAAGGTTTGATGAAGAAAACTTACTGCTTAAAATTTATGTAGATCTGGCTGGCCCGGACAGTTGACCGCAAATCAAATCTTCTCGGAATCGAACAAACTTGACCAATCCAGAAAGCTGACGTCACGGCGAAGTCAACGGCGTTGACCGATCGGAAAAAGCTCGAATCATGCGCTCTCACGCGCGCGCGTTCTCCTCGGCAGCTGGAACCTTCCGGCGGCGCGT